TGATCTAAGTCAGGGCATGGCTAACTCACAGATCGAACCCTGAAACAACCTCTGGGCTGATCTAAGTCAGGGCATGGCTAACTCACAGATAAAACCCTGAAACAACCCCTGGGCTGATCGAAGTCAGGGCATGGATAACTCAGAGATCAAACCTTGAAACAACCTCTGAGCTGATCTAAGTCAGGGTACAGCTAGCTCATAGATCCCAGAAACCCTGAAACAAACTCTGGGCTGACTGCAAAAGGACTAAAATGATAATGCAGTACTTACAGGAAGCCGATTATCACTGTTATCAAATATGATTTCAACATACGCAGACACAACTCTTGGTCCTGTCCCTTCCTGGAAAACAAGAAAGATTTAGACAAAAAGATTATACCATGCCACAAATCACTTATAACATGTACCAAACCATGTTTTTATAACAACCTCCATATCTCATAGCTTACATGTAGCAGGGCTTGACGTTCTTCCTGCCTGAGGTTACTGAACTCATCTGCACTCAGTACAAACTGGATTGCTGAAACAAAAAAAGATAATTAAGACCATGAAAAAAATAGTGTGTGTTTTAGGCTTCCGTGAACCAGGCAAAGTCAGGGCACAAAACTAATGCTCAGTTGCAAAATGCAAGTGAAATTTTGTGATTAGCAAGTAAGAAGAAATGGAAAGGACTGAAAAGTTTAGAACCCGCATCAAGTAACATTTGTTATTTCTGACGATCGATTGCTAGTAACTTTAAAATTTTGCTAGTGAGAACAAAACTTACTAGCAAGGTTTTGCTAGTGGGTTTAAAAGTTAATTATACAGCTTCTCATTAATCCCATATAGGTAACTATCTAATCATTTTCTTAATTGGACAGGTCTTGTTGATATGGGATTAATTAGGCAGCTATATGATTAATAGGTAATGGGATTTCATGCTCCCCAATCAAGAAATAATTAGACTCCAAAAATTCCTCTGACTGCCAAATTGGACTCAGCCTACGGCCTCATCCAAATTTGTCAGTCCTCAGAATTTTCCTCGTCCAATTATTTCTTAATTGGACAGCATGGAGTCCTATTACATATACTAATTTCATCTCCTAAAACTCAGAAACATCTACGTAGGCTTAAAATAATGGCTGGTGTCAGTCGCCTGTCATCATCACAACCCAAATTAATTCTAATTTGGTCATATCATGTTTCTTGCTCAACTTTACTGGTCAAAATGGCTGGCAAGGGAAAGATTTGACCAGACAAGCTCTAATTTTGGCCCACCATTTTTTTAAGCCCTGTACAACAAGTATTTTTGGTGCATTTTGGTGAGATCACAGGGAATCAAGCAATAGACCTTTTACAATACATTACTGTTAAGTAAGACCAAATACCTTTATTCTAATTACTTACCAAAGAAAAAGTTACTTTTTCCAGATCCATTTCGACCCACTAAAAATGAATAGGAAATAAACATTGGATTTTAAGGAGGTTTGAAACGGTCTTTTCTTGAGTGCATGCATGCTCTAGAGCCAATGACATAGGCATTGCAAAATGAATTTGCAAAAGAAAAAATATTTCCTCAAAAATTATAATATTGAAACTGAGAAAACTCAAAAACTGTATGGTGAAATTTCTTCAAAAACGTTTCTGTAAGAGGGAACTATTCCAAACAAATTTGAATGATTTTTACGAATACCCTCTTATAGAATTATATATTTTTTCATTAAATAGGAGATTACAATACATAGTTTAAATACTCCAGTTTTTAAAAAAATCACCGTTTGGTTCCCAAGTTTTTAATGGCATAACAAGGGTTCTGATGTTGTCATAGTAACCTCTTACATCATTTTTTCATGTTCATTGTGATCTTTGGCTTATGGTCTTTGGCTTTCCTAGTTTACTTGCTGTCATATTATAGCCATATCATTTTTTTAGTTCATAATTGTGAGTGTATGTAAAGTCACAAAAAAAATTTCCAGCCTCCTTGATAATAATATTTCCTTTTAATAAATACTGTTCTAAAGCATTGTGATATAATCAAGAGACCCATCCAATGAAAGATATCGTCATAGTTACATGCTAATATGATATGAGGTCTGTTGTGACTTACCTATAACATTGTGCTTGGCACTAAATGGTTCAATGATGGTCTGGTCTCGGTAACTTCTGAACCCTTGGATGATCACCTGGATTGCAATTAAAAAAACATAACCTTATTAAGGGAGTTTTCTATTAAGTCCAAATGATCGGCCTATGTCGGTTCTTAGAAATAAACCAATATGGCRCGAACCAATTCACCTTTTCGGCGCTAGCCATCACGTGGTATAAATTGTGTTGGATTGTGTTACGGTCACCAAGAAGTTCGGACATTGTTTTTGGATTTCTGTACAAATGTATTGACTTTAAATGAACTATTTACTTGGTTTGTTTAGTTAGTTCTCTAAATACAAGTAAAATATCATTTTTCTAGCTTGATTGAAGCATTTCTTATTGCTGTTAAGAGAGCCAACTAAAGAAATCTATCTAAATTTTCTCTTTAAACTCAGTGAATTTGTATGGGAATCTGAGAACGATGTTCGAAATTTTTGGTGACYGTAACACAATCCATACCATGTGACGGCTAGCACCGAAAAGGTGAATTCTAATAACTGAAAACTGACCACTTGGACGGATCGGTTTCAATTTGAAGGAAAGCTCCCCCACATTCCAAAGCTYATTAGTCTCAAGATAACTACAGTACAGGTCAGAATTTTTTTCAGGATGAAATGTGTTTGTTGCACTTGGACTCGACACATAGGCTCCATTCATACTAGTGGGATCCTACTTTACTGGTGCATTTCCTCTGTGTTTAGATTGTAAAAACTTTGGTCACCCATAGCAACAGTGTTTTTGAAGACTATTCTCACCAAGATTATCATGTTTATATGGTTTTGATCAAAACTAAGCCTGAGATAGGGAACAAAGTGCATTCTGGTCTAGCTTGGGTAGAAACATATTTTGCTCATAATGCCTTATATGGTGTTCATCAAAGCTAGACCTGGGATTAGAAAAGTGGTGCCTTCTGGTCCAACTTGGGTACAAGTTTTTTCGTTCATCATGACTCATAAGGTGCTGATCAAAGCTAGGCTGGGGATAAGTAACAAGGTGCATTCTGGTCTAGCTTGGGTACAAACCTCTTTTGTTTATCATATATTTTATGTACCAAAGCTAGATCAAAAAGGATCCTGTTGATTGAACTTAGAAAATATTCCCACTTCATCGAGATGGTAGTGGRGGGGGGGGGGGGGGTGGGGGTGTTGAAAAAGCTATAAAATGATATCAAGAAAATGTCAATAAGAATAATTCTATTAGAACATATACGAGAACCAAAGTTTATTATAGGAACTAACATTCTAAAAAACCCACTTTTTTTGCAAATGCTAACTTCCTCATCGAAATTCAGATTTTATCAAATAATGACAGCATTAGAAGATAATCAATGTACTCTAAGTTTGAGTGTCATTTTTGAATGAAAAACTCGAAACAACCGTTGTTTACAATCAAATTATCCGTTAAGGTTTCCTCTAAATGATATTTTGAATGTTCCCGAAGATCAAATTCGACTATTTTGGAAAGTTTTGATTGGATTTGTAGAAAAGAAGAGGAGAACTTCTTTTCTGAAGAATCTAAAAAAAACGTTATAAGACTGATACTCAAGCAAAAAATATCGCACGAATTCAAATTTCAAAAATAATTTCAATGCATTTTAATTGAAGGGATGGCAATTTAACTAAAACATAACAAATTGTACTCATAATAAAATACAAATTAGCCTCTTTGAGTTTCAAATAATGACTTCATTTTTTTGGAAAAGTCAACCGACTTTGCATGGAATAAAATGCTTAAAAATTAAGTAAAAGAAACTAAAAATACCTCAAATCGCTTACCTGTTTTATATACATTGTTCTGGATATAGTTTTGGTCTACTTTGAGGTATAAAAAAGGGGGAAAAACACGTTTAAAGTGAGGAATCTTTCTTCTGGTTGTCGACTCATCTCATGGACTCCTTTGGTGTTTTTGGCGGGAGAGATTCTTCTTTGCTGTGATTGGTCGAATCCCAACACAGGGAGCCCATACATAATTTTTGTAAAAGTTTTTCTTCAATCTATATTTTTTTATGAAACAAATATTTTTTAAATGGCAAAAATTCTTATTTAATATTTTTCCTAGTACGCTACTTATGCATGTACGAATTTGGAGCTGGTTTTGTTAAAATTTTGGGTTATTTATTCTTTTTTGTATTCCTATGTATAATGCGCATATTTTTAAAATCCATTTTTAAAAGCGATGAAAAAATTGTACTTAGGAATAATAAAAAAGATAGTAAAGATAAATACAGTTTGTTTTTTTAATTTGTAAGATATTTTTGGTCATTAAAAGTGAAAGTTGGGTTAAGATTGGGGTCCCTGTGGTGCTCGTCCCAATCCCTTGGACATCAACAACAGGCGCTAATCGTTATAGATTTCACTCCAGCTTGTCTACAACTGAAAAATAGTAAGATTTTTAACCCATTTATCTCTTGCATTTTCACAAATGATCAAGTAAATGAGCCTCCGATTCGACTCCTGAGTCTCCCAAGACCTCTACTAGTAAGTCTAACCTTTGGTAAGTCATAAAATCTGCGAGAATTGACCGTTTTTTTAGTACAAACATGGCAGAGATGATTGTGTTTGTACGTTATTTGATTGACTGGTTTTCGGAAAATTATTTACAAAATACGATATAATTCAACGGATTTGTGTTCCTGATCTCATTAAAAAGGATGTTTTCTGTTAGTATGAAGGGTTAAATTAAGTTTAAGTTGTGCATAAGAGGGTTTTTTCTCTTGTGGACAAACGTGCGATCAAAGACAAAGAAACCAGAAAATCCGTACTCTACGTGTACCAGTTATTCACAACAACCACTTAACACTAGTCATCTTTCATTTTACTACGACTTCTACACTATAAACATAACCAGAATTCAATCAGAAACACGCTACTCGATCTTATTTTGACCTCGAGTAGCTATAATCACAGTTATATTTGATGTAATGTTAACTTTTAACTTGGAAATGCAGATAATTTTAGGCGCGAATTTAAAGATCTAAAATCCACAAACCTCAAAGATCAAGCTTTGATTGTGTTTTTTTGTCTTGTCAGTGTTTGAGCTGTGGCGTTTTAATTTGAACTTATTRCGTCGTATTTTTTTCGTCAAATATTTAGAATACTTGAATATTTATTCTTCATTATTAATTACAGTACATAAAATTTAAAATGTACTGATCAGAAAATAATGAAATACAAATGAAAATAAGAAGACTTACTACAAAATGTGAAATAAACAAGCTTATAAGCTTAAGCTTGTGTTAATCTTTAGGACAATATAAAGGATTCTTTATAAGCTTTGGTATTTCAACCTAAAGATATTATAGCTGATACGCAAGGCATACATGCCATAATATCACAATAATTTATCATCAATTATTTTTATTAATATATATTGTAGTCCATTATGATTTCCCTAAACGAATTTTTTATACTCATAATTGAATTTGTATTTCATATTAAAATTTGTATTTCAACGGTACAAGATTTAGGCTCACTAAGGCCCTATTTATATAGAGAAAAGTTGTCTCAGGGACCCAAGACAGCTGTAGCCCACGAGACAACTTAACAGAGCGTTTACATGGACTGTTACTTTTCCATTAAAAGCTTGGGTCTCAAGGACACAGAAAACCCAAATGGAATTTTTCTCTAGGCCAGGCTACATATTAGCATGCGTACGCATTTCATTTTTGAGCTGTTTCACCCAGAGTGAAACTTAGTTCTCTCACCTCGTCTCACCTCCCACCACGGTTACCCTACCAGCCAAGACGAGACGTCTTGCCCTTTGAATTGTTTCACTTAACCAAGAATAGTGGGGATAACTAGTAGATTACTAGCGTGGACTGCATCAGTATTTCTGAATAAAACAGCAGACTTGTGGATAAATTGAATTCATTTAGTAGTTGATTTTTACGGAGGTAGGAAAACAGGAAGCTGGAAAAAAACTCTTGAAGCACAGGAGAGAACCAGCAGACAACTCTACTCATGCCTCATCAAGGCTGGCGGGACTCGAATCCGGGTTGCATTGTGAGAGACAAGCGCTGTTAACACAACACCACCCCTGCTTCCCATACAGTATATCAATCAATGAATCCTCTTTTGGGATTTGACTACTGGCTGATGAATAGGGGTTGCTTATTTAACAGAAGTTCTACTATACAGTGTAGTAAATATAAATATTTCTTTGTAATCACTATTCGTTTACGTCATCTCATTGATTCATAGGTGAATGGTTTTGAAAAGCACATGAAGTGTTGTCAATGGCATCATCCGCTACTATTCCACCAGAGCATAATCAGTGGTCGCCATCTGATACTGTGGCACAAGGGATTGCACAGGTACAGACTGTATACATTATTTTGGCAATATAAAACATGCTTATATTCTCTGTACTATGACATAAACAATGCTGGGAGATGTAGAGTACAAGAGAAGAAAGCTTTAGAGGAATGCCATCCTGTAGTCAAGCATTTTTTCTGCTTTCATTAAGTGCTTGGAGTGTATCACTGACAGTTCAAAACAGAAGCATGTACACAAATTTTATGCAAATCAAATTTGATTTTTACTGTGGGCAGGGCTTAAATTGATGGCCGATCAGCTGTGATTATGATCACAGACCAAATTAGTTTTAACTTAGTGATACCTAATTTCTGCCTCAATGTTACTGGTCAAAATGACCAGCAAGGCAAAGATTTGACCAGACAAGTCCCAGCTCTGGCCAAACATTATCCGATGTCCAGCTGTTATTTTAAGCCCTATTAGGGAGAAAAACCCTCTTACAAGAACAACACATCAAAAAACTCAACTCACATTACAGTTCAGTCAAGAATTGAACATGTGCATGACCTCAGGCTTGAAATACATTGTGGAGATTGACAGAACCATAGCATGTCACCCATTGTTCTTATGATTTACATTATATACTTTTTTTAAGGAATATTCAAGTCAGTGGCACATATTAGAGCAACTGAAGTCGAGTGTAGCTGTTGTAGATCCCTTGGCTGATACAAGCAAAACGTCAAGAGAATCTGTTAGTCCAGGAAATATTTCTGATCAAGATCAAGAACCTACTGCTAAAAGCAAAGAAGTCGAGACAGGAGACACCGAGGTTAGACTCAACAGAAATACTTGATGTCCTACAATCACCCTTCTTTAGTTAATAAAGCAAGTTACTAGAGTATATTTTACTTTTTTCAATGCTATGAAAATGCTTTTCTGCATGACTTTTTGAAAATATTTGACTTTTGAAGGTCAAACCATTTGCAGATGTAATTGCAAAGGCATCACCTACTCCTCAGTTGAGGAGTGTTTTCCTGGATGACTCAATTGAACCACTGCCTTCCACACAACAGACCAATGCTCTTACAAACTGAGCAACCTTGCTCAGATACACCTAAGAGATCATGAACTTTATTTTAGCAATTTTTTTACTTCAAAATGTAGTTCATTTTGTTTCATTTTAAACTTTTCTCCATCCGTAATTTTTAAAACCCTTAACTAGTCTAGCTCTTTATAACTAGCTACAGGTTTAAATGTCCTTGAACAGCACATTTTGATTCATTAATTTAACATAGTATTACGATGATAATGTGAATCCCACTTCGCATCCTACTTGCAACTTATTAAATGTCTTGAAAATTCCTAGCACTTGAAATCGTGTTTCATGATCAATAGCACTAAAAAAAACCTTGAAAAAAGTATGTGCCAATAAAATTCTTTGATTACAATAATAAAAAATATTAGGGTTACACTTTGTTGCCTTCAAACAATATAATTTTGAGTTGAGGCATTTCGGGTCAATGCACTAGAGTGAAGGCATTTAACCCGTGAAATAAAAAAAATAAATGTATAATAGTCAAATAGACACAAAAGAAAGCAATATGGAACTAGGGTCTACCAATATCTATTTCACAGGTTTAATGAGTTCACTCTAAATGTATAGGAACTGAACCAAATGCAAAAATTGTTTGAAGGCGATCGAGTGTAACTCATAGCCCTAATATCTGCTATTAAAGTAGTTTGAGGTGATTTGGCTCTCTAGTACTTGAAAATATTACACAAGCTTGACTACCATGAGCTACAATTTACTGTATAGAATTGCAGTATGAATTTGAAATATTACTAATTGCAAGATTTGTATGATCCTTGTAAAGCATGATTTTGCAATGATTTAAATCCTCCTTCTGACTACTTGTAGTAATGATGAAAGGGTAAATTTTACACCATGAAAAGATGATGTTTCGGACACTAGTCCTTACTGATGTTTCGGATGCTAGTCCTTTGTCAGAGTCCTTCTTTTACTCAGACAAAGGACTAGTGTCCAAAACATCAGTAAGTTTCTTCATCTTTTCACAGTGTAAAATTTACTCTTTTATCACTACTGCTTCATTAGAAACACTCATGCAGTTTTTAGCTAGTTATCCCTATTTAGAAAAGAATGCAATGATTTTCATTCTTTTTTAGCTAGTTATCCCTACTTGTAGTAAAGTTGCTTTTAAGAACTCTATATTATTCCTGCCATCAATAGTTTGTCTCTAGGGATTTAAAACTAATCATAATTTGCAGCATTTTTATTAATTATCAACTTAATAGACCTCTTTACATTGGGGCATATTGTTTTCTCATATCAGACCACATGTCATTCTCTTGGGAAAAAAATGAAATGATAAATAAAAATTGAAATTAAAAAAATAATAATAATAAGATTCTGTTTGAGTTGTATCCATATTCATGTGTCTTCTCATGTGCAACCGAGCGCAACCATTAAACAAAGAAAGGATACTATAGGGAATGATGTCTGAAATGGGAAAACATTGTGCGCAAGTTAATGAGGTATTTTATAAAACAATATGCAAACTGAATCCTATTTGATTGTTTCTCAGAAGACAGAAAAAGAATGGTTCATACTACCAGACGCTCTATCCAGTGGCCATACATCAGATGCAGGCAGTGATTCAGCCTTGGAAATCAGTGATTTGAGAAATGAGCCAAGTTATTCTCAAAGCAGTAACAGGACTACACCAAGCTCTTCTACCAAAACAAAGGAACTAAGCATGGAGAAAAAGAATGAGGTACACTTCACTTAGAATGAAACAAACAAAACACACAAACACAATAGTCCCCTTCACAGTTTCCTGCGCTATCTTGAAAGATAGCAGTGCCTTTGCATCGAAGCGAGACGAACGGTGACCTTGCAATGATAGAGACCTTTTTTTAACACCTTGGACAATTATTCACTTGTCTCTATTATTGCAAGCTCACCGTTCGTCTTGCTTCACTGCAAAGGCATTGCTACCTTTCAAGACAGCGCAGGGAACCATGAAGGGGACTATTTTACCAGGAATTGGAGATTCAAAACTAGTTCCTGGTAACCATTTATTAAGGGCAAGTAAAGCATCTTGCCCAGAGAAAGACAAAATCACATGAAAAAGTAGAATTGTTTTTTTTTTCCTTCACTATCTGCACATGAAGCAAGTTATGGCTGAAAGTTAGATATCATTTTCCCTCCAGAATGACCCTTATCAAGAGCAGTGGCATGTACTGGAGGAGCTCAAAGCCAGCGTCAAAGCCATGCAATGGAGCTCAAATGCCTCTGAATCATCCTTTGACGTCTCTCACCAAAGCATGCCATCAAGAAACAGCTCCAAGAAAGAGGATTTTGCAGAGCCTCCCAAGAGAGCACCTGTTGCCAATAGCAACCTGGTCAGTGGGTCAGTAAGCAGCTTTGGAAATACAGATGATGAGAGTAGTTTTCGGAGTGGGGTGTCGTCGAAAGCAGCTGGGTCATACATAAATAATTCAGGTGAGTTTCCTCTTCCTGAGGTAAATGAAAGAACTGTTGGCCACTCCCTTCAGTTCCATACATGTTTAGACATGCATAGACATCACAGATTCTGTCACACTCTGGCTGTCAACCCAATAGAGGTTTTGCACCATCACGTGTCCACGCCCATAATAAAGCTTGGGCTGTCTGTGGTTGGCTGGCAGAATAATAAAATCCCTTTGCTCTTTGGAATTGAATTTTTTCTCATGTAAAACAATTGTATTAGGAAAGCACCGGTGGTGTGCATGCTAATGCRCCGCCTCTCACCAATGCGGCCTGAGTTCGAGTCCTGCCGATCTCGATGTCGTATGTGAGTAGAGTTGTTTGTTGGTTTTCTCCTGTGCTTCGAGGGTTTTTCTCCGGGTTCTCCGGTTTTCCTCCCTCCTCCAAAATCAACTTCTAAATTCTAATTCGATCTTTGGCCTTTCACTTAGTTTGGAGCCTAGCTTTGTTGTGATTGTCCCACGCTGTGATACAACAGCGAAAAGCTTTGTAGATTATTGTTCCTGCCATCTAACATGGCTGCTGTCACGTAATGGTGCAAAACCTCTATTTATTTGATCTACATGTAGTTCTTTCTTAGGTCGACATACAACGTGTCATTCCCTTTAAAATGATACTTTTTAGGTATCTTCTGAAGCATTAGTGTTGCGGAAGGAAATCATACTCAGCTCAAGAGAATGTTATTTGGTTTGAAATGCGAAAACAGTTTACGGACTCGAGCTTTGCCTTAAAAGCACCTATTGATGGTTTTCACGGAGGCCATGTTGGAGGAACTTAATAAAAGAATTGTCAATGAATTCGTTTGTTATATCCTCCAACATGGCCGCCGTGTCTTTTGTTATTTAATTCTCTTGGGAATGGTTGAAAACCATCAATAGAGCTTTTAAGTTGTGAAGTATTTCCAGGTCCAACTGCCCCAAAAAACTGCTAAAATGTAACGAATATTGTTCTCAATAACTTCACCTCAACTTGAAATATTTAGAATTTTGGACAAAAATTCCTGTCCTGGAGAAAAAGTAAGAAAACTTTTTTTATAGAACTGCTTTTTGTTTTGGACCTGGAATTCGTTTTTCTATACAATTGATAAGATAAAAAAAACTAGCTAAAAACAAGTGTGAGCTGCGTCGATGTTTCTAATGAAACAGTAATGATAAAAGGGTAAATTTTACACCGTGAAAAGATGAAAAAACTTGCTGACGTTTCGGACGCTAGTCCTTCGTCGGAGTAAAAGAGCTCTTTACTCCGACGAAGGACTAGCGTCCGAAACGTCAGTAAGATTTTTCATCTTTTCACGGTGTATAATTTACCCTTTTATCATTACTATACAATTGATACTTAAGTACAATATTGGCTTTTCTTGACCTCTAGTTGGTACTACCTCACTTCCTGTACAGCTAACGCAAACCTCGGGCTACCAAGACCAACAATCCAGATCTGCCCCATCAAGTTTTTACCAAGGAACAGCCATTACAAGTGATGCCCACCAGGCCCAAAATACTTCCTCTGATTTGAGCCTGGAGAGTGAAAATCTCGGCTTTGCTGATCTTCCTAATCGACCTGCAACTATTGGCAACTACGGTGCAAGTGATCTAGCCAATACTTCGCCGTTTGGGACGACTGGGATACCTCTACAAGCTATGAACATCCAAGTGAACACGTCTCAAAATATCATCAGCGTGCCTTCGACTTTTAGTGGAAGTGGTGGTGATGTTGCATTGATGTCTGAAGGTAGTGACACCTTGCTGTCTAAAGGGCCTATGTCAGCCAGGGAGAGACTACAACCTGATGGACGAGATGGCCCTGATGTTCTTGCAGCTCCCAAGACAGTACAACTTGTTCCTAGTCTTGTTAGCTATCCTCTAAGTGCTGGGTCATCATCCACTGATAACGCACAAGGAACAGTTCTTCAGCCTTCACAGGGAAACAGCGACCTTGACATCGCAAAATCCAGTAATTTAAGCCAAGTTGGTCAGCTCTTGGTAGGTGATGCAGCACAAAGTTCGCCCTATTCGACGTCTCAGTTATCAGGCTCTACCCCTGTAATATCCGGGGCCCTAGGAATGAGTCTCCATAGCAACACCTCTGTTGGGGTACCTCTAAGCAACGCCGTGGACAATTCTAGTGTTGGGATCGGCCCTCAGTTGACAACTGGGTTGGGGACCGAAGACTCTAACCAACCTGGATCAAAAGGAAGTGTCAACTCGAGTCTGCAATCGAGCTTTTCACCAGATCAAAATAAGGGTTCACATCCCTCCTCGTCACCAAGGCAACATGGTTCAAGTCTGACTGAAGTTCAGTCTTCTATGTCACATACTAATAGTGCTACTAATATTACCAATACCAGCTGGTTGTCTGGAGGAGTTAGCCCAACATCTCAAGTACTTATTGACCTACCAACGGGACCAACGAACCAAGGCATGGGTAGTTTTGCTCAGAACGAAATTCGTGATGCTGTGATGCAGAGAATCGAAGCTCACACCCAAATAACAGATTTCGGGAGTAAAGTCGTTCCAAAGGAGCCAACGGAGTCATCTTTTTCCTGGTCAAAGCCAACAGGTATTAGTGGAGCATATGGTACCTTAGATTCTCGTTTTGTCGGCAATGGCCAGGTAGCACCATTAAGTTCTATACCTGCTATCCCTGCGCGTTCTTACCATAGTTTACCAGATACTTCCCAAGGTTCTATCCCGAAAACAACTCAATCTATCACTACGTCATTTGATCCCACGGTACATGGAGACAGACAGACAAGTTCCAATCGCCACACCATGTACCCAAGTCAAGTGGACAGACAGACAACTCATAATGAGCTACCAGGGTCTTATGATTCGTATAGCTTAACAACTACACAAAGTTTTCCTTCGTCAACTCTTACAGGGAAATCGGCTGGCTACGTTTATAGAACAGCAGCAACACAAAGTTCTGCTCAAAATATCCCTTCTCGGTCTTCTCTATTAGAAGATCCAGGACGCTCAAGGATTCAGAAAGATATCTTCTCTCGACCATCAGCGGTAGACAATATAAGAAGTGGCCTTCTGAACAGTGAAGACGACGAACAGAGTCCTGTCTCTAAGCTACTTGGACCAAAGTTCAAGGCAACACAGGATTACCTCAATAAGCTCAGAAATGAAAAACTTCAAGAAAGTAGCTTTAGAAGCACTGGTTCATCAGACAGTGAATCTCGAGTTCCCTTGGCAAATCTTATAGAAAAGCCATTTGACAACGGCTTCAGGCAGCGAGAATCGTCCAAAGAGATTTCTCACAAATTGTCTACAAGTTCTTTGTCTGATAATAGTTATGAAAGAAAGTTGGAGTCCAAGCAAGCGTGGTCAGTTGATACGAGTGATGCATCAGAATCTCGTAGCGACAGAATGGGAAAAGAAAAAGATCAAWGCGTTAAACAACATTACCATTCTTTTGATCATCAAACCATGAGCAAAACAAAAGATACTTCTGGGAATATCTATACTCGAGATGTTCACTCAGCATCCCTTTCTCCTTACGATAAAACTACACCAAGTACTGCTTCAACTGATCAAAAATCTGCTAAAGATTCATACTTGAAATATTCCCAAGATTCTTTTCCTACGAGTAAGAACGAGTGTTTACATGAGATCCAAGAGAGTTTGTCCCGGTACGAGACTCCTTTGAGTAGCTTACAACCTGATGAAAAAGCGTGGGCCCAAGATGTTGGCCATAATGTAAATAAAAGAACACTGTACTCAACGGAATCTAACAGTTTAATGTCTTCATACGACGAAGCTGAAGACACTGATGATTTGTTAAGCTATGAGGCTGTTTTACAAGGAGATATCAGGTATATTAGACGACTTAAAGATGGTAAGCAAGAAAGGAAATCACAAGAAACGTCCAGCAAAGGGCACTTCCATTCAAGTAGCATCAACAGCAAATCAAGTCTGACACCAGAAACAACACCAGGACAGTTAACTGGAGATCTCTCTTCCATTAATGGCAGTGTAGAGTGCGATCCATTGACACGGATTCCAGTCTCTGTGGGTTCCAGCGGTTCAGAATTTCCAAGTATCGAGGAAGAGACCAAGCGGTTTCACTTGTCACTTGGTGCAGGTATTGTGAGTCCAGTTATAGAGAGTGAAAATGAGAATTACCAAAGAACCCCAGAAGAAACTTCGGACGTTGGTCCACGGGATGACGACGATGATGCTCAGCTATCCTCTGATGTAATCGAAATTGAAGATATCGAAGAACAAGAAGGACGAAAAGAAGTTCTCCACCCAAGTGAAAGAGAAAGTCTTACAACTGAATCATCATCATCCAGTACATATCAACCTTACATTCCAATCGCGCTCCGACAGCCTGCATCTACCGAACGAGATTCAGAAGTAACAGGAAACTCATCTTTGACTTATGGAGTGTATGACATAAGAAATTCTTCTGGTCCAGGAAGTACAAACAGGAGAAGAAAGGCCATGGGACTGACACCAATTCCAGGAAGAGTGCCCAAACTAATGAATGGTATAGTGTATGTATCACCTGAGTCTTCGCCCTTGCAAAGCAGCATGCAAGAGGATTTGAGTACGGATGAAAAATCATCCAAAGACGACACTTTGACCAGTCAGTCGAGGATTAAATCAAAGAGTGACGTACGAGAAAAGCATTCGACTTCTCACCGATACAGCTCCCAGGGGGGACGTCCAACAGGCTCGCGAGACAGAAGCAGCAGCTGGCATTCTGCAGAAGATCATGAATCGCGCAAGAAGAAGCCCTCTAGAGACAATGACGAAAGCTCTCGAACCCGCAGTAGAGCAAGTAGTTTTGAAGAAGCTAAAGTCATCGATGACTACATTGGAGGTCGTAAACTTGTTCAACATGGAAAATCTCGTAATGCTAAAAGTAGACCTAAAGATGGCACGCATTCAGACGAAAGTCCTTCACTAAAGGAATACTCCACTTCAACGAAAAATGCAGATCTTAATCAAATGTGGGAACGCTTTCAAGAAAGTCTTCGTTCAAGTCCTCGATACAACAGAACAGACAGCGTGTCTTCCCACTTGAGCAGGCTTTCCGCATTGCTGTCCAAGCCACTGGACACGGCAACCACAAGCTCTGAAACTGAATTCGACGGGAAACGTTTTAGAAAGCCGCGCTCACACTCGTATGGTAGCTCATCTAGTAAAGTATCTACCGAATCAGATCAGCTGTACAATGAATGGGTCAAAAGTTCTTCTCTTTCACGGCAGATTAAACTTCGGAAATTACTTGAAACTGTCAATGTTGGCGATGTTCCGACATTTCCGCGTCTACGACACAGGGATACCACAACAACTACTACTACTACGAGTAGTACGCCGAGTGACACTTCGTTTTCCGAGGCACCAGAAAGTAGAAATGCCTCTCTTGTTACTTTACCACGTTCGAATCGAGGATTTAGGAAAGTCTCTAAGACTCCGGTCCTTGTGCCCTCGAGTCAATCCAGGCGCCCAGCAGAACACGACCCCTCACGACCAATATGCATTTGTGCTATTCATAAAGAGAAACCTGCTGAACCGGCTAGAGTTGGTCCTGTTAACGATAAACAACTACATAGGCCGCGAACATTAGATGCGGCTGTCAATGTACCTTCACCGAAGACGCCTAGACGAGTGCGCAAGAAGGAAGGGTTAGTTGATGTTGGGGTGCAGACGGCAAGGGATAGTGATGAAGAACTTAATAGACAAAATATTCGTATCAAAGGTAAAAGCAGAAAGCATCTGAAAGATGAAAATAAACTCGAAAGGGTGGATTCTGAAAAGGCAACAGCTATCGGTGCATCAACGCCAAAGCGGAAAGAGCGCTATTTGGCAAGCCAGAACTCTCAAAACCAAAAACGTGTTAGCAGTGTCGATTCAAGCCTTAGGTCCCCTGAAGGCTTACAAGATACGACCCAAGAGGATTCGCGTCTGGAAAACACGAGTAAAAAAGAAAAATCTAGAAGCAGGCAACACAGAGGTCGTCTTCTTGCAAGTCAGAATTCCCCAGTTGCCAAAATGAATTCCGAATCTCAACATTCCCCATCGGGGCCTACCTGGTTTTACCCAATGACTAATCGTCACTACAGCCATCCCGCACGATCTACTAGTGTAGCGAACAAATACAGTAAACCCAATCTACAGACTAGTGTGGTCAAACCAGATAGACTTCGATCTGAAGAACAAACAACAAAAGCATTCAGCCCTCCAGCTGCTGCTCCATCAACGTCTATACAAAAGCTTAGCCTTCAAGAAGCCTTCTGCTTTGCCAAGCCTGATTTTATCAAACGATCTCGAGCGCGTTTGACGAGGATCGAACACAATAGAACAGTACGCGAGTCCGGCGAGACCAAGACTAAAGGACAAGAACGTGTTTCGAAGATGGAAATCCTTGCTGTAAGTAAGCCTTCTGTGAGCAAGCCACTTGTCAACCCCAAAACAGGTACGGAAAAGAAATTTTAACAGGGAAAACATTTATTACGATTATTTAGACAATAGTCTCTTTCACAGTTCCCTGCGCCATCTTGAAAGGTAGCCGTGCCTTTGCATTGAAGCGAGACGAACGGTGAGCATGCAATGATAGAGACCTTTTTTTAACACCTTGGACAATTATTCACTTGTCTCTATCATTGCCAGCTCACCGTTCGTCTCGCTTCGATGCAAAGGCACGGCTACCTTTCAAGATAGCGCGGGGAACTGTGAAGGGGACTATTTATTAGGTATTCCTAGGTTGAGGTAAAAACTGGGTCGAGTTTGCATTGCACTGAATTTTTGGGCTGATTTTTAGGGGATATATTTCCAAGATGGCGGGCGTCTATGTAAAGCAGCCCCACAATGCACTGCTATGCCAACTCGATCCAGTTTTCCCCTCCACCTCGGAATGGCTAGTGGTTTTGTGGAATATTGCAGTTTCGAGTTCTCTGTTACTCAGGGTTAGTCTTAATTTTGTGTAGAATACTCACGTGTTCCAGTAAAGGTCCGTGGAATTTCAAAGTGTTTGTATTGTTGGCGTTGTGCATTCTTTACTTTACCGTTGGTATTTGTGAATATTTAGACACTAATACAAGGCTAACCCTCAGTAAATGAGTCTAATCAAAAAAGCACAGCGTATCGTACGAATTAGACTAAATGGCCTACTGCTCGCGGAAATTGTTTTTAGAAGGGGGGGGGGGGCATTTATGACAAAAGTTCCTAATGAAGGCAGGGAAAGGTCTACGAACAATGGCGGCCAATAATCAAGAGGTTGCGTGAAGTCCAATACAGAGCGATTCTAAAGGAAGTTCAAGAGAAGCAGTAAAGAGAATGAAAGTGTGCCATCATGGAAAAAAAAAACAGAGCTTAACGTTCATTTGTTTTTCTTCTTTCCAGAGAAACTTTATCGTCCAAAACCGAGACAAATGAGCAAAAAAGAAATCAAAGAGATGAATCTAAGGTATGTCTTCACACAGACAGACAGACAGACAGAC